GGATGATGCCTGGCTACCATTACTGAACATTTTGATAAATAATAGGGTAGGAAAATTTTAAACAAAAGGAGAAAAATTCAAAATATAATTTCAAATTCTCATGGTATCCAGCATTTCCAGAGCCATGGGGGATGCATAAGGCCCTGAAACTATTGCCCTAAATAATTTTTAAACTTTACTCCACACGTGCTGCATGAAGTAAACAATAAATAAATGACAAGCAGCACTTTAGCTTAACTAGCAAAGAATGTCTCTCTTGAGCATAGTTTTATTTTAAGATCTGTATATATGGGATCAAATTGATAACAGCACCTTGAAAGATTATCTAGGAAATTAAGGAGTTAGTGAATTTATGTTAATGGTGAGGCAAAACTCAGAAAAGGAGTGAGAGAATAGTTACAGAACGAAAACAAAATAGAATCATTGTCACTGAATTGTACATGTAGAAACTTGGTATTTGATAGTCAGGCACCATCAGCTTTCTTAACCACATTTGCTTATGCACCTATTTTGTCCTCAGTGATTGTGTAAGGAAGCTGAGCATTACAGAATGCCAGGTTATTAGAACAAAGTGTTCTTGCGTTGAGGGAGTACTTGAGTATAGGCCCAATGTCCGTTTGCTACCTTAAAAGTATATATAAGTATATGTACATAGATCTATTTGCCTATATTTATATATAAATATATTTACATATGTACATGCCTGTATTTAGAGCTCTATAAATGACCATTGCCTTCTAGTTCTTTCCTCTATTTCCTTTGATTTTTCTCTTGTCCCACTATCATGTTTGGCATTCATTCAGGATTCAGTAATTCTTCTAGGCCACATTGCCCTTGATCAAGCCACACCAGGCCTCCTATGCCTTCCTCGCCATTGATTTTAGAGCACTTGTTGTTCCCTTGTTCCTGGGTTTGTTGACAACCCCCTTCCTTTCCCTAGCCTCCACCTCTCCTGTGTCTGTCAGTCCCATTGTTTTCTCCTCCAGATTGTTTATCCCACCTATCTTATCTAGATAGACATGCAGAGACAATAATAAGCACAAAAACAAGACAGAGCAATACAAAGCAGCAACAACAAAATCAACAATAAAAAAGAAAATCCAATAAATAGTCTGTTTGTTGATCTTTAGGAGTTGAGACTGATGAGGTAACTTGACCTGGCCCCCAAATCTATTTTTGGTATTCCACAGGGACTGCATTGCTTTATTTCCCTTGCTGCTCTGTTGCATGCCCTTAGTGTTTCACCCTGGCGTGGTGGGATCAGATTGGGCACAATTCCAGCACTGTGTCTCCAGTGTTGTCCTCCATAGTGCTATAGTCAGGGAGGGATGTTGTGTTTTGTGGTGGGGCCAGCCTATGGTCCTCTCTGTGCATTGGCTGCTCTGAGCAAGAATATAATATCATCCTCTAAGCTTGGTGGGCCAGGTTGTGTTCCACTCTCTCTCCTTCCCTCTTTGTTTGCTCCTGTGTGCTTTGATCAGATCCGCCCCTCTCTCTGAGCTGTAGCTTCAGTATTGTCCTCTGAAGTGCGTTCCTCTTGGGGTGGGGGGTGGGGGGAGAGGGACTGTGTCCATGTAGTTGAGATTGGAGCCGGCCCTGAAGACCTCTCCATTGGACCCCTGCATCATGCTGATATGTTGCATCCACGTCTTGGTGCACCGGGTTGAATTATGGTCCCTTTCTCCCACTTCTGTGGAGATATAAACAATATCCTCCCCTTGGGGGAGTCAGTGCCCTGCTCCCTCCCTCCCCATGTCTCTCTTTTTATTTTCCCCTCCTTTTTAGTTGGCTGCCATATTTATTCCTGCATTGGGTCTGGTCTTTGCCATAGTACTTGGACCAAACAACAGGAATATATGTATATAGTAGCTTTTCCCCTATGCCCTTTTGCATTTTAAAGTTTAACTCAGTGGACTCATGTTGTACTTGTCCTTTTGGCTTACTTCACTTAGCTTAATTTCCTCCAGTTCGTCTCATGCAGTGATGTGTTTCATGTGTTCATCGCAGCTTTTTAGGGATGTGTAGTACTCCATTGTATGTATATACAACAGTTTTTTAATTATTTCTTCTGTTGATGGAAATTTGGGTTGTTTCCAAATCCTTGCGATTGTGAACTGTGCCATAATGAATATTGGAGCCCAGATGTCTGGCCGTGGTTTGTTTCTTGCCTCTTCTGGGTATATGCCCATTAGGGGAATTACTGGGTCTTATGGTAACTCGATTTCCATCTGTTTTAGATATCGCTAAATCAATTTTCTTTTTTAGTAATCATTTTATTAGGGGCTCATACAACTTTTATCACAATCCATACATACATCAATTGTGTAAAGCGCATTTGTACATTCATTGC